CTAAATCATTTCCAAAACCAAAACGACCCACAAAACAGAAGCTAGAAAACTCCTTAACTAAAAATCCTCCCAAACAAAACAAAGAGCCAAGATAAACTGAGGATTAGGAGATTAACAATAACTGGAGGCAAAAAGGCACAATTTATCTATATCTTTTATTTATATCTATAACTCTGGGGCACCAACAGCAAACCGAAAACCCAAGAATGGAGATCGCAGTAACTAGTAACAGCATCTATGAGAGATCACAGTTTTAACACTGGGTCTCCTCTGTAGCTGTGTCTCCCCGAATGATGGAGTTGGGAGGCTTAAGAAGGCTTCAGGAACGGCTGATGGTTGATTGGGTGCAGCTGCTCCACAACACTCTCTGCTGGCCTCTGGTGGTGTGCGGCTGGGTTGCAGGACTTGGGGCCTGCAGCAGGAGATTACCAGGAGAGCAGAGAGCAGACCCCCTGGGTTCGTCACAGTTCCCCCCCTAAAAAATTAAGGAAGGAAGTTAAACAAAGAAAAAGACCAAAAAACTTTATTTCTTAAAAATACTACTAAAACTCCTCTTCATAATAAAAACAAGGCAAATTATTAGAGCAGTCTCTGTAAGGGTGAGTTTCCCTCTAACAGCCTAGCCCAAAGCTAACTAGCTGGACCCTGGTTTTCATGCGCTTCACAGGCGGGCAGATTAAGCACATGTGCATTTGCACATATAAACCAGTAAAGAGAGAAAGTTTAGCTCCTGCTCTTCCTGGGGTGCTTCTGAGAAGGTAAATAAAATTCACCAACACTAGCCTGTTGTACGCAACACTAAAGGAAAACAACAAACAGGATATATCCCAAAGGGGACACACCTCTAAAACCTAGTCAGGGAAAACCCATCACACCAGCTCACACACAAATAAAATCTAAAAGCCATGTTCTTTTATGGTTCAACAAATCCACGGGACAAACAGTCGGCGACAATGTTGTCAGTCCCTTTTTTTTGTCGTATGTCAAGCTCATATTCTTGGAGGAATAAGGCCCACCTCATCAACCTCTGGTTCATACTGAACATAAGGGATAGAAACACTAATGGATCCGTGTACACAATAAGGGGTTCTCGCATTGAACCAACCAACACTTCAAAGTGCTGTAATGAGAGCAGCAAAGCCAAAGTCTCTTTTTCAATAGTTGAATAATTCATCTGACCACTGGTAAACTTTTTAGAAAAATAGGCAATGGGGTGGTCAACTCCGGCATCATCTTCTTGTAGCAGAAACGCGCCAACACCTACGTCGCTTGCGTCTGTTTCCAGTTTGAAGGGCCTGGACAAAATGGAAGCTGTCAACACCGGGGTGCTGCACAGCAACATCTTGCAGGCTTCAAAGGCGGTTTGAGTGGCATCACTCCAGACAAATGGGACCTTCGGACTCAACAGAGTGGTTAAAGGTAGGCAACGGTGGCAAAGCTTTTACAAAAGCACCTGTAATATCCAGTCATTCCCAAAAACCTTCTTAACTCCCAGCGCGTAGTCGGGCAGGGATATACAGATATAGCCTGTATCTTATCTTGCAACATGCGAACACATCCATGCCCAACCTTTTTTCCCAGATATGTGACCGTGGCTTTCACGAACTCGCTCTTGGCCAAGTTGATGGTTAATCGATCAGATAGCCGCTGAAAAAGATCATGCAAAGTGTTAATGTGCTCAAGCCAGGTAGAGGTATGGATCACAGTGTGGCAAAGACCCAGTCAGCATTCATCATTCTCTGGAATGTGGCAGGTGCATTCCTCATCCCAAAGGGCATTACAGTGTATTGCAGGAACGTGTCGGGTGTAACAAAAGCAGATATCTCTGGAGCAGCGGGCGTCAGTGGCACTTGCCAGTATCCTTTCAATAAATCAGTTTTTGTTATGAAAGAAGCATCTCCTATACTGTCCACACAATCATCAACGTGTGGCAGAGGGTACGAATCTGGCACTGTAACTGCGTTCACTTTTCTATAGTCTGTTATAAAACGAGAAGTGCCGTCTGGCTTCTTTTCAACAATACTGGGGGAGCTCCAAGGGCTCTGGCTGGGAACAGTTAAACCGTGTTCCACTAAATAGTGTCATGGTCTGTGTCTGCGTCTGTGTCTTCCTTCATGTGTCTCCTGATGTTTCTCCATCCCTCTCTAGATTCCCTTCTGTGTCTCATAGCGCCCTCATGTGTCTTTTGTCTGCGCCTCAGTCAAGTGTCTTATGTTGTTACCCTTTTTAATCATTCCTCCCAGGTCAGCTCCATCGTCTTTGTCCCCAGCTCAGTGTGTGTGTGTGTGTGTGTGTGTGTGTGTGTGTGTGTGTGTGTGTGTGTGTGTGTGTGTGTGTGTGTGTGTGTGGGTGTGTGTGTGTGTGTGTGTGTGTGTGTGTGTGTGTGTGTGTGTGTGTGTGTGTGTGTGTGTGTGTGTGTGTGTATGTGTGTGCGTGTGTGTGTGTGTGTGTCATGTCCTCCTCCAGCTAGTTTGTGTGAGCCCTTCCCTCTGTCTTTAGATATTGTTGTTTAGTTTTGTGTTCAGGTATTTGCCCTCCTCTGTTTCTGTTTTCCCAGGTAGATTATTATATTCACCTGTCTTCCCTCCAGCCCTCACTCCACACACCTGCTGCCAATTTCCCTAATTACTCCTCCCTGTGTATATAAGCCCTGTCTTGTCTCTGTCTTGTGTCGGTCCATTGTTGTATTTCTGTCAGCGTTTGTTCGTGCTCTTAGTGAGCTTTTTTTTTTGTCTCTCGGTCTTCGTGCTCTTAGTGAGCTTTTGGTCTCCAGTTGTTGGTGCTCTAAAGAGAGCTTTGGGTGTCCTGTCCTCCAGGACTTTTGGACTTTTGGCTCGCTGCCATTTTCGATTTATTTTTGTTTCTTCCTAGATAAAAGGATTTTTACTTTTACCAACTATATTGTAACTGGCAGGGTTGATTTTACCCCAAACCTCATAAGGACCAGTAAACTGGGCTGCCAAACTAGAACCGCCCAGAGGGTTTAACATCAAAACTTGGTCTCCAGGATGTAATTCTTGACTGGAAGACTTGATATCATAGTGGACCTTCATCCACTTCTGAGCTTCACTCAAATGTTCTCTAGCCAACCAGTTTGCTTGTTGTAGTCGCCATTGAAACAGTTTGATGTAGTGATTTACTTTTTCTTTCTTTGATTCTGGGATCTGTAAAAACTACAGTTTAAGGGCTTCAGAGGACCTCTTGGAGTATGGCCAAAAACAAGTTGTGCAGGACTATAGTCCAATGACTCTTGAGGGGCTTCTCTAGCGGCAAACAACAGAAATGGGACTCCCTCGTCCCATGACCGACCTGTACTTAAACAGTACTTTCTTAACATGCTCTTAAATGTCTGATGCCAGCGTTCTAAAACCCCCTGACTCTCAGGGTGGTAAGCAGCTGGTGTGATGTGCAGGATGCCTAAAGTTTTGGCAACTCCTTTAAACAAATCAGATTTAAAGTTTGATCCTTGGTCTGTTTGTAACACCTGGGGTAACTCGAAAACTGAAAGGAAGGACGTCAATGCTCTGGTAACTGACCTGGCTGTGATGGATGACAGAGGTACGGCTTCAGGGAACTGAGTACAGGTACACATCATTGTCATTATTCAGGCATCAGTGAGGAAATGCATCCAAACAAGCCAAGAACAGTTCATGTGTGATGCAAAAATCCACCCAGTGTTTTCCATGCACCTTGAAAAATATTAAAAATTAATTTCAACCAAACCCCCCCTCTCTCTCTCTCTCTCTCTCTCTCTCTCTCTCTCTCTCTCTCTCTCTCTCTCTCTCTCTCTCTCTCTCTCTCTCTCTCTCTCTCTCTCTCTCTCTCTGTCTGTCTGTCTTCTGACACACACACACACACACACACACACACACACACACACACACACACACACACACACACACACACACACACACACACACACACACACACACACACACACACACACACACACACACACACACACACACACACACACACACACACACACACACACACACACACACACACACACACACACACACACACACACACACACACACACACACACACACACACACACACACACACACACACACACACACACACACACACACACACACACACACACACACACACACACACACACACACACACACACACACACACACACACACACACACACACACACACACACACACACACACACACACACACACACACACACACACACACACACACACACACACACACACACACACACACACACACACACACACACACACACACACACACACACACACACACACACACACACACACACACACACACACACACACACACACACATATTTGTTTAGTGTAGTTTTTTGTTTTTAGATGTTATGATAATTGGTTGTTTTGTGACTAAGTGGTATTTTAGGCAAGTTGTGTTAAGTTTTTCTTTTATTACAATAACCACTAAATTTTAATATATTTGCTAGTTGTACCTTCAATTTTCTCCACATGGTGTCACTAGCACCTCAATTAAAACGATCAACTCTGTTTTACACGCAAAACGTGCTTCCCACATCTATCACAGTCACATTTGAAAAATATGAAGAAATAGAAGAGAGCAGGAGAACTCGGGTCAAAGAAAATGATGCGGGCGATTACATTTTTATCTTTGACCCGAGCCCCAGCCCTCTTCTACTTGTTGCTGCTGCTCCACGGCTGCGGGGCACCGGTGTTCAATCTGGATGGCGCACAGAGCGCCCTGTGATATTTTAAAAATGTTTTACATTATTTTTAATGAGAATTTAAAGGTTTACGGGAAAAAATACTTTTAAAGTTTCACTGCTCTGGAATGGGGACAGGAGCTGTCCAGAGCCTAGTGGTTCTGAAAGCCGCTCAGCTCTGCGGCTCCTTTGGTTTGAGTCTAGGTGAAATGTGATTAAGGACATCAGCCAATATTCTAGTTGTGTAGGGTTAACATTTGGTGGGGTTGGATTACGTAGGTATTAAGTCTTTAATGTGTAAAATAAGTATTAGACATTTTGGAGTTTATTTATTGTTCTCTGCCTCTTGACCTCTGAGGATGTAGACCTACAGGAAGATGGGTCGTGTTATTTTTCTTGTGTCTTTGTGAAGTTTTCTTCACAGGGTAAAGTTCATCACCAGGTTATAATAAAGAAATCTATATTTGTTTAGGTTACAGCGCAACGCATAGACGCTTTTGTCTCCATCTGTGCTCTTCTCATGATGCTTGTTGGCTCTCATTGGTTGAAGTGATCGCTGCCATGGTTGGATATTAGCATAAAGGAGTCAAGAGGCGAAGCGATCCGCTTGGGGGGCACACTGGTGATGCGTCACAGCTCTTTAGGGAAAAAATGAGACAAAAGAGGGACGAAAATAGCGGTTAATGTGCGCCAATGGCCACCAAGTCATTTGTGGTCTCAGAGCAGAGAAGAAAGGGGTCACAGGTGATGGAAGGCATGAGCACAGCAGGCGTGAGAGACTGCACGCGCCTCATCACAGTGAAACGTCGCCATGGATAGATGAGTGGTGAGAAATCTCTGCAAGTTGCAGAAAATCTGCGATTTTCTCACGTCACTTCTCGGGAGGTCATGCGTCGAATGTGGTTGAGGAAGCTGAAGAAAGCCACCTTCACCGATGAAGAAGTTCATCTGCGCCTCTCCTTTTACGCGCAGGCGAGGTGAGGACAGGGAGCACCACGTAAATGTGGAGAAACCTCAAGTGAGGAGCTGAGAGATTTAAAGAGGACGAAAAGAAGCACAACTACTATTTGAAACATTTATTTAACTTTTTCTTTAAAACAATTTTTAAACCACCATGGACGGAGAAGGAGGCTCGAGCGGCTTGGCCAAATCAGCTGCTGTGAAACTGTCCGAGATGGGTGAGAGAACCAAGCAGCTCGGCTCCGCTATGAGAGATCCCCACCAGCAGAAGCGGATCATACTAGTGATCGTCTGCGTAGCTCTGCTGCTGGACAACATGCTCTACATGGTCATCGTGCCAATTATCCCGGACTATCTGGCTGATCTGGAGACTGAGCAGTCAGAGCACGTCCACGTTGTGTTGCACCCCAACACTTCAGCCAACAGCACAAGTCAAGACAAAAGCAACAAGGACAATTTAGACATCCAGATAGGGGTTCTTTTTGCATCTAAAGCCATCCTCCAGCTCTTAGTCAACCCGCTGTCGGGAACTTTTATTGACCGAGTCGGATACGACATCCCGCTGATGATTGGGCTCACGGTCATGTTCGTGTCCACCTGCATTTTTGCGTTCGGGGAGAACTACGCGACCCTGTTCGTGGCCAGAAGTTTGCAGGGTCTTGGCTCCGCTTTTGCGGACACGTCTGGATTTGCGATGATTGCCGACAAGTACACAGAGGAGGCGGAGAGGAGCAGGGCGCTCGGCATCTCGCTGGCTTTCATCTCATTCGGGAGTCTGGTGGCGCCTCCTTTCGGGGGCGTCCTGTACGAGTTTGCGGGAAAGAGGGTCCCCTTCATCGTGCTCGCCTCCATTTGCCTGGCGGACGGCGTCCTGCTGCTCACCGTCATCAAGCCCTTCTCTAACAGAACTAGAGAGAACATGCCAGTGGGCACCCCCATGTACAAACTCATGATTGACCCCTACATAGCTGTGGTGGCCGGGGCGCTCACGGTGGCCAACATCCCGCTCGCCTTCCTGGAGCCCACCATAGCGAACTGGATGGAGACCACCATGCACTCCTCTCAGTGGGAGATGGGACTCACTTGGCTCCCGGCCTTTTTCCCTCACGTCCTCGGTGTGTACATTACTGTTAAACTAGCAGCCAAGAACCCACACCTGCAGTGGTTCTACGGAGCTTTGGGTATGGTGATTATAGGCGCCAGCTCCTGCACAGTACCTGCATGTAAAACTTTCGGACAGCTCATCGCCCCGCTGTGCGGCATCTGTTTCGGCATCGCGCTCGTGGACACTGCCCTGCTTCCGACGTTGGCGTTTCTAGTTGACGTGCGTCATGTTTCCGTGTACGGCAGCGTTTATGCCATAGCAGACATCTCCTACTCCATCGCCTACGCAATGGGTCCAATAGTAGCCGGGCAGATCGTGCACAACCTGGGCTTTGTGCAACTTAATCTGGGTATGGGTCTCGTCAATGTGCTTTACGCGCCAGCGCTGCTGCTACTGCGCAACGTGTGCCAAATGAAACCGTCCTATTCAGAGAGGGATAACCTCTTAGACGAAGCCCCACAGGGGCTTTATGACACCATCAAACTGGAGGAGATGAGAGGCAAAAAGAAGGGCTACAATTCGGCAGGGAACTGCCTGTCGGTGGATGAGAACGGGTTTGACCCCTTCAGAGCGCAGCGCTCCGTGTCGGAGGAGTCTCCCGGTCCAGAATACACCTGAACAACCTCCCTAAACATTCCCGCCATGGGATTTATCATCTGGACTTATTCAAAATTAGTGATTTCAACTTTTATGTGTGCAATATTAACACCCAGTCAACAAAATCATGATTGTGTGACCCATTTGCCAAAGTTTGTTTGTTTCTTTCTTTCTTTCTTTCTTTCTCTTTCTTTCTTTCTTTCTTTCTTTCTTTCTTTCTTTCTTTTTTTCTTTCTTTCTTTCTTTCTTTCTGACTGTGATATTGTATCAAACACAAATCTATGTGGGCGTGAAACTAAAGTTTTTGTCAGAGTCGTTGTTTCACACTGACTATTATTTGTTTTGAAACGAGTATAAATTATTGTGGGACCAAGTTATAGCGGCACATTCCCTTTTCAGCACAAAATAGAATCTATTTTTAGTCTCAAAGGAAACGTATTCCTCCTGCACATCAAAGGCCTCTGTTTTTCTTTTGCGAGTTGTCCAAAACGTGTTTCATATTTTCTTTTTTAATGTTTTTGTTTTTTGAAAGTTAACGCATCAATAAATGGATTTGTATATATGTGGATACATGCACAATGTAAATTGTTTACGTGGAAACGTGTGCGCGCGCCTGAGTATTTTGTCATGACATAGCTGATGAAATCAGTCCCCTGAAGATGGACAAATGTGCTCATTTTAACAGCTGTCGTTTTAATAAACATGTTATGATCTGTGTCATAGCGTTGGTTTCATTGCTTTTTTATTTCTAACAAACATAAATTTAAAAAGTGCATGCACTCAAACACCCCACAGGTGAATTTAGACTATGCGTGTATCCTAATTGGAATAAACAGCTAAATATTCTGATTACACATTTTGAAAAGTTCGAACTTTTTAATAACTGATTGTATGTACCCAAGTTGATCCAACTTTCAGCAACTTTTACGCATAACCCTTTCTGCCCAGGACCAGAGGCCCTATAATGTCACTGAGATCCAGCTGTCACTCCTTTTTTATGCATCAAATTTATGACGGGATGTAGGCGGGAGGGGGGAAGCAAGATGTCAGATAATATGTTCCGCGAATTGATTTCGATGGGAGGAGTTTCTTGCCTCAAGGGGGTAAGTAAACACCTTCAGTTTCTTTTCAAGCCGCGCTTTCATGTGGAGCTTAGTGACCGGAGTTTTCCTCCAACATGAGGCTTTCACGGCGTGGACGTGGGAGGAAACCGGACTTTCAGCACACCTGCCCGACCTACTGAACGCCTCAGTGACCAGGTGAATGTTTCATGTTCTTCTTTCTGTATTACTCTAAAAGTGGACGCATTAATTTTGTGTGACTTCCCAGAAAAAATGACCATGTTTGTTTAGAAAATTGTGTTAAATGTCAAATATCCCAACTTTTCGGGCTATTGCATGTTTTGTGGTGCAAACTTAAATATGTTTAATTTAATATCCGTGCCTTTTCAAAAAACGGACTTCATTCTTACTTTCCATTTAAAAGTTTCCTTTTATTGTTTTAAAAAGTTGTAATTTATATTTTAGAAAAATGTCTGATTTCTTTCTGAGGTTTGTGGCTTTCTGAAGTGCGTTAATGTTATTCAAATGAGCGACATGCAGGTTTGAGATGTTTCAATTGTTCGTTTTATTAAGTCAGCTCTTTTCTCTTTTCTCGATGTTCAGAAATGATCTTTTAGGGCTTAAAAGTTGATCAACCAACGCATCACTGCCAGCAACAAAGATTATACATTTAAAAATGTTGCTGCTAAAAAATCCAGTTCCTCTGACTGATGAAATAAATGTTTTTCAAGGTGCGCTCTGCGGAGTTGAGCCATGGGGCGCAGCTGGAATTCAAGGACATGCAGCAAATTGCATTAGGCTGCAGAGCGCTGAAGAATGAAGGCACTCTGGCTCACTTTCACTCAGCATAGCTGCATTTCTCAGTGGACATGATTTTATTAACTCCCGCATTGGTGCTGTTTTTCCTGTCCTCTTCTAAATGTCTTGTCATTTTTCAAAGCAGAGACAGGTGAACTCAGAGGCTGTTTGCTTTGACCAGACTTGGACTGGAAACATGTCTGTCCATGTGAAGGAGGTGTCAAGAGGCCAGGACAGCCAAGTATGAACATGTGATCCTATTCCAACTCTTTTATGTACAGCGACGATGCAGCTTAACGTGCTGAAACACAACGGTGGTGCTGAAAACCAGAGCTGATTCATTCAGCACGTCGGACAGCTCTCACTGCAGTACCGTAACTGATCGCTAGGGGTGAAAATTAACAAGTTTTTCGTGTTTTATGGTTAAATTGACAAATTTTTGAAACAGTTTCCCCAAAATACAAATCAGATAATATAGAAATTCAGTGAATTGTTTTCAATGTAATTTCATCCACTGATTTAATTGAATAATACAGGTGAAACTGGAAAATTAAGAATATGGTGCAAAAGTACATTTATTTCAGTAAAACATAAAAGACTAAGAGACCATCTAAAGGCCTAGGAACCATATGCAGGTGTTCTTAATTAGCTTATTAGAGTGTGACACTTTGAGTCTAGAATACCACAATATTTTAATTTTCTGATGTTTTGAACGTGGGGTTTTCACCAAACCATAATCCTCACAAATAAAGGCTGAAATGTCTGACTTTGCATGAAATGATTGTATCAGATGTATTAGTTTCTCCTTTGAAGTAAAATTACCTTTTGATCCATTTTCTAATTTTTCTAGTTTCTGTAACTGATCATATTTTGATACTTTTGAGATGCTCCCAGTTTCCTCAAACTCATAATTAAGATTTCTTTTACAACAACCTCAATCTTAAACATCATCTTGGCTTCAGTTTTCAGTATGCAAATCATGTTACTTCAGACAGAAAACATAATCATTTTGCACATTCCAACAACACTCATGAGGCTAAGAAATTCCTTCCCAAACATGCCTCGGAGCATTCAAGATTAATTATTAACTCAAAGTCTAATAATAAAAACATTAAGACATGCCAATGCATTACTGTTTGTTTTCATGTCTTTTACACATAAAAGTGCTGAATAGTTGCTGTTTTTTAACTAGTCTGCTCCTACATTAGGTGCTGCCAAAGGTCCCCGTACCCCCACTGAAACAAACTCTGGACACATATTTAAAGTGCATCCAGCCCCTTGTGAAAGATGATCAATTCAAGAAGACTAAAGCCATCGTGGAGAAGTTTGGGTCTCCTGGAGGAGTTGGGGAAGTTCTTCAGAGGAAGCTTTTAGAGCGGAGGGAAAAAACTGCCAACTGGGTAAAAACAAACATCTAACAAATAAAGAACACAGCTGCTTGCTGTAAATGTGCACAGTGGAAGACGGAGAGCAAAAAGAGAGTTTTATAATTAGTTCTTCTCTGTAGTAATCTCATGTTTTTGAATTTACTTTTTCTTGACACCTGATTTGTTTTCCTCATGCTTACATTTCGAAATAGAACTACTAAAATGCTCATTTCCTATTTAGATATTACTTCAATATAAACAACTGATTGTAAAAAAAAGAAAAATAGCAACACAAATCTAACCCTTGAGGATGATTTATGAAGTCTTTGCTTGCCCTTTCAATTTTCCCTCCTGCTGTTAGACCCAAATAGAGACCAGTGAGGTCTGTCGCACTCCCACTGATTCCACCCACTTGTCTCTTCATCTGGTGGATGATCCACGGTGCTTTCTTCACTCCATTACCCACAAGTCTCATCTCTCTGTGTGTGTGTGTGTGTGTGTGTGTGTGTGTGTGTGTGTGTGTGTGTGTGTGTGTGTGTGTGTGTGTGTGTGTGTGTGTGTGTGTGTGTGTGTGTGTGTGTGTGTGTTTACATCCAGGTGTATGACTACTGGCTGGAGGACATGTACCTGAACAACAGACTGGCCCTTCCAGTCAACTCCAGTCCTGCCATGGTATTTCCAAAACAGACATTTCGAGATCAAAAGGATGCTCTCAGGTAGACGCTGAAGCAATCTCCAAAGTGTTTTTTTTTTTCAACTACGATTTCAAGAAACCAAAATGCAAGACATAATGAAAATGTGCCCAAAAAATGTGCAGATATTTCCACAGCCTGTGTGTGTGTGTGTGTGTGTGTGTGTGTGTGTGTGTGTGCGTGCGTGTGTGTGCGTGCGTGTGTGTGTGTGTGTGTGCGTGCGTGTGTGTGCGTGTGTGTGTGTGTGTGTGTGTGTGTGTGTTTGTTTTGTTTGTTTTTATTCTTTGTTTTTTTGCAGAAAGTCGATCGGGTGCACAAAGAATAGTATAATTTTAAAACACCCAAAAAGGCAGCTGTAACTTTCAGTCCGCCATAGTTAGAGTTAGATTGCACTTTAATTTCAATTTTGTTTAAATTTTACAAACAATAATAAAACATACATTTCAGGCTCCTCAGTTGCTGACAAGGTTTATGCTGTTTTCATTCGACAGCGGCTCAGGTTAAGATCTGAATTACAGTCGTGCTCATTATTAAATGAGACGCTGTCCTCCAGACATTACACGGGTCCATCCAGATCTGTATCTTCTTTCAGCTCGTGCCACACTAACTGAATATTTCCAGGACTCACGAAGCAGCTGGTAATCTACTGTCATGGCCACTTATTAGATTGGGAGTGACAGAGCCAAGCTCTCCACAGAGACCGCTGGTCCGTCTTCGTCTAGGGGCGTGGTGCTGCTTCTGCCTTTGTTGTATTGATCAGGCTTTGGACGTAATAACACAGAGACAAATGACATACAGCATGGGACCTGACAGGGAGCTGTGCTCTCCCTGTGTGCACACACACACACACACACACACACACACACACACACACACACACACACACACACACACACACACACACACACACACACACACACACACACACACACACACACACACACACACACACACACACACACACACACACACACACACACACACACACACACACACACACACACACACACACACACACACACACACACAACTCACTCTGTACCCAAGTAATTCACCAGGATGTGATTACTGTTGAGAGACGAGAGTATTGTCCTCATCAACCTGTCCTTTCTATGGTTTTGGTGATTTATATACAAAATTCTAACATTTTTTTTTAAAATTTCATCCACTATTACCTCTTTCGAGGTTCGCTGCTCATCTCATCCAAGGAGTGTTGGAGTATAAGGCCCTCACTGATGCGTAAGTTCAGTCTGTAATTGATTACCTGCTGTTCTGCGGCCACCATGGATTTATCTTTTAAAAAAAGCTCTAATGGTGACTCACAGGTAATCAAACATCTGTAATTACCACTTTTAGGAGAGTGCTGCCAGTGGATTTTGCCCGAGGCCAGTTAGCTGGGACTCCTCTTTGCATGGAGCAGTACTACCGTCTCTTCACCTCCTACCGCTATCCAAGGTTGAAGACAGACATGTTAAAAGTGCACATGGATGCAGCCTCATTGGAGCCAGAGCACATCATTGTAGTGTGCAAGAACCAGGTCAGACGGGGCACTTGAGACTTTCACTCGTGTTATGAACCAACCTGATGACTCTTTCAAACCAAACTTTCACATCAGATTTTTAAAACATCAACTCAAAATTGTGCAACATTAAGCACAATAGATGAAAACCAAACTGATTCATTCAACCATCTGTTCTTATGCTGCAGCTTTACTCTCAAATACATTTTTATTTACCAGTCATACAAAATGTCATGGTTTTAGTTAAAACTGGTCAATCAGTTTTCTGACTGATCCTTTGTTCTACTTTTTTTCTGGGACAAAAACCTGTCTTAGGTAAACATGACTAGTTCTTTATGCCTCCATAACAGCACCAAGTGTCCATTTAAAAATGTAGACATATCACAAAATGAACAGGCTCAGCAAACTGATAAGGACCAAACATTTTTAAATAGTTTGGGAATTTCTGTCATTTAAAGTTGAAAGAAAAAAATGAATTAAACTAAATTGTAATAAGCATTTAATAAATAAACCTTCACAACTAAACAATTTATACTAAAGTAACATCATCACAAAAAATACATGTTTTATTTAAATAGTACAGATCAATTAATTTTACACAATTAAATTCAGAATTGGGCAACTCTGGATTTGACCAAATATTCTTGTTTTATATGCATGAATGCCACATGTATGGAAGTCCATTCCTGCCATTCTGATTTTGAAAAATATTATTTTTATCTCATAATTATGACTTTGCTCTTTCATTAATGTCAGCTAGTAAAGTCATAATAATGATAGTATCTCATAATAATGAGAAAGTATCTGATTATTATGAGATATTATCTCATATTTATGAGACCTCATAATAATGAGATAATTATGACTTATCTATCTCATTATTATGACTTAACTATTTCATTATTATGAAATAGTTAAGTCATAATAATGAGATAAAAATTATTTTCTTTTAAACAGAATGACCTGATTGGGCTCCCACAAATAATTGACTGCCCAGAAACAAAAATGTGTGTGTGTGTGTGTGTGTGTGTGTGTGTGTGTGTGTGTGTGTGTGTGTGTGTGTGTGTGTGTGTGTGTGTGTGTGTGTGTGTGTGTGTGTGTGTGTGTTCTTGTACTTACTACATACTCAGACCATTTTGACAGTTTAGGGTTAGGAGCAGATCAGCATTGGTTATGATTAGGGTTATGGTGTGGGTTAGGCATAGTGGAGTCACAGACATGGATGGAAGTCATGGGAGGGTCCTCACTATAATAACAGACATGTGTGTGTGTGTGTGTGTGTGTGTGTGTGTGTGTGTGCGTGCGTGCGTGCGTGCGTGTGTGAGTGTGTGTGTGTGTGTGTGTGTGTGTGTGTGTGTGTGTGTGTTTAGCAGCAGTTTTTAATGTCTACATGTAGTGTATTTTCTATTACCATTTATAGAACATTTATTAAAACATTCTAGCTAAAGACATGACACAAATTTGGAGTCTGATGGGACTTAGCTCAGATGCTAAATCCTGGATTCTAACGAGTTTTAATTCTAGCTGATGTTAATCAATCACATGTTTATGTCAGTTTCAGTAACTTCTCTAAGGGATGCACCTGCCAGCTCCCAACAGAAACATCCAGCACCAAATTAGCCTGGCTCAAATCTGAAGTCTGTACCCACAATTGTCTAATTTCTCCCCAAAGAGCACAAGTCCTCACTGATTCTCATCACTCACTTCAGTGTATAAAATGTCCAACATCTGCAGGAGCTCTCACCTGGAAAATAGGCTGGGAGCTTTCTAGCAGCCTGCTGAACAGGAGGGTCTGTCCCTGTGTGGATGGAAGGAGTTAACTCAATTATCACTGATTAAATCTGCCACTTTGTCTGGGTGCTTCCTGGAGTTGCATCTGATGGCAGCAGAGGAGCCATATTGTTAGCAGCAGCTGGCTTTTACTTGCTGCTGTTTTTGCCTCTGAGCTCATCATCTCAGCTGCTTAAATACAGCACAATAAACCCCCTGATCAAGAGGTTGTTTTTACATTTTAAAAGTTAAATCTCAACAACTTTTAATATTCAAATTATACATTTTTTCCTCTTAGTTTTTCTCATTGGAAGTGGTTGTGAACAACAAGCAGCTCAATGAGGCTGAGATCTTATCCCAGCTGGAGAAGATTGTAAAAATGTCTGAAAATGCTGAACAGAGACACCCTCCTTTTGGTCTCCTGACGTCAGACGGGAGGACAGAATGGGCACAAGCAAGAGAGGTGGTAATTAAAGGTAACTCAGAAGCTTCCAGATCAATTTCACATATATTTTTAGGATATTTTCAGTCCACTAAATTCTGTCTTCTTTCCGTATCCAGATAAAACCAACAAAGACTCCCTGGCCCTGATTGAGAGCTGTGTATGTGTGGTGTGCCTCGATGAGCCCTGCGGGCTTCCACCCAGTGACACAAATAGAGCTCTAATGATGCTGCATGGTGGTGGTCATGAGAAGAACGGTGCAAATCGCTGGTATGACAAGTCCATGCAGGTAGGATCAGACTCCAAACACTTTTGATAACATTTTGAACGTTTGCTTCATCCGCCTTCTCTCAGTTTGTCATAGGGATGGATGGTGTGTGTGGGGTGGTGTGTGAGCATTCTCCTTTTGAGGGAATAGTTATGGTGCAGTGTTCTGAATTCCTGATGAAACACATGTAAGTCAGCACATCACAGGCTGAATTTAAGCTGAGTGAAAGTCTAAAGTCTTGTTGTTCTGAACAGAAAAGGGAGTCCCTCCAAGATGGTTAAGCCCTCCAGCTCTAGAGAGTTTCACCCTCCAAAAAGGCTGCTCTGGAAATCCAACTCCCACATTCAAGGCCTCTTAGCAGCATCCGGAGACAGACTCCAGCGGCAAGAACGACTCAAGAAAAACAAACCCACAACTTTATTTACAAGTCATTACCAGTATTCCCAGAGAAATGTCTCATATATGTTTAGTCTTCTGCTTCAGGCTGGTGAATAATCTCGACATGGACGTTTTCGTATTTGAGACCTATGGGAAGGAGTTCATCAAAGGGCAGAAGATGAGTCCAGATGCGTTTATACAAGTTGTCTTACAGCTTGCATTTTACAAGTAAATTCTACAAACAGTTTTGCATCAAACACATTCTTAAGGAGTAACATTTCTCAAAACCAACTGTTTGAACCCCCAGGTGCAAGGGAAGGCTTGTGTCCACATATGAGAGTGCATCACTCCGCCGTTTCCAAGAAGGTCGGGTAGATAACATTCGATCAGCCACTCCAGAAGCTCTGGCCTTTGTGCAGACTATGGCCGACGAGAGAGCTGCATTCACTGTGAGTGATTTTGCTCACTTTCCCTCCAATTATTGACACCCACAGCGTTGTTCATCTCTAAATTAAACAGGCGTAACCGGCCAGCTTGGCACGTCAAATCCCTCTGATGATCTCCCAGCAGATTTACTAGATCAGTGAGGAACTGCCGTAGGAATTTGGTGTCTTTTCTCGCATCAAAATAAATGCATTACTCTTTTTTAAATTATTTTTATTTCCCCAACAGGATTCAGAAAAATTCAAAAGACTGAGGGATGCCACCAATGCCCAGACAGATTATACAATAGCCGTAAGTGTTTCAAACTGTTTTATTTTAGACAGATGTCAACAGCAGTGTTTGCTATTGAAAAGAGATGTTTCATCCACAAGCTGAAACAGTTTTCTGATGTCTAAAGGAAACTTCTTGAATGTGTTTTAGTAGCAATTCCAAAAGGCTCATAAGCTCCTTTATGTCATCATGAATTTACACCTTACTACTGGCTGCTGGTTATTCCCACGACATCTATTTGGTTGCTTTTGGTCTCATTTTAAAAGAAATCATGTGGGATTTGTTGAGATGTGTAATTATTAGTGTATGTGTCATTGATTACGTTTAAATGGACATGAGACATTGTAAAAAACAGTTGATTTTATTCTTTGCCGCGTGATAAACTTTGACTCCAGGATGAGTATGTCTTTGGGAAAAGGCAGACGTAGCTTCAAACTTCAATGGATGCATAGTCCTACATCTTGACAGTAGCTGTACAAAGTTTGATAAAGTGAAGAACAACAATTTTACAGAAGCTTATACGCAGACACTGCAGGCACGCTCTAAGATGGCACATCACGTGAATTTGGATTGCAACAATGCTTCTTCCACTGAATGGTTTTTGTTGTCCAACCTTTTAGCTATCTAATATTGTAAAGTCATTCAGTGACAAATACATGTATTTGAACATTTTTGAAATCACGTGTGTAAAACTCGCTAAGGTAATTGGCTGAAGCTCCATTACGCAGGAGATTTTCTCAGGATCCCATTGGACTATTTTAGTGATTCAACCATTGGAGGAAACCTTTCAAACAATAGAATCACTTGTTGTTGAGCTTTTTCGGCTGGCATTCGTAAACCAATCACAGGAGGAGAATCGCCGTAAACCAGAAAATGATAGGGTGGGGGGTCCGGGAGCCAGAAAGAGGAGGCTCCTATTGAGAACCTCTGCCTTAAACCGTTTAATATTGAAATACCAAATTGTACTAAAGTCATTTCTGTTTTTAAAGCTGGCCTGTTTGTTATCTAACTTTAACAAAACAACTTCTTAATAATTTGTTTAATTTTTGTATTATGTCAGCTAAATGCAGACTGCTAATCAGACACTGTTGGTGTTCAGGCTATTACAGGAATGGGAATAGACAATCATCTCCTCGGACTTCTGAAGATCTCAAAGGAGCTCAACATGGAGAAGCCAGAGATCTTCTGTGATGAGACGTACCTGGCCAGTAACCATTTCATCCTCTCAACCAGTCAGGTAGCATGATTTTCTTTTCCTTTTCCCCCATTTTCTCCTTGTCACATGGATGTTCTGTTCTTCTAGTCTCCCAACAAACGACCTCAGTAGGTGGAAATTACAAGAAAAACGTATTTTAATTTTCTTACCAGAACCTGGCTATGAAACAAATATAATTCTAATTAAATTAAGCTTGTTATTATTTCTAGAACCTAGGCTTGTGTATACATCATACATATTTCTACAACTTTTTTGGTGTAGCAATTAACCACATTAAAAATTTATATTACTGTATTTAGTCATTAAAACATAGCCAATAAACTGAAAATTATTCATTTAAACAGGAAATGAAACCCAAAGAAAAAAGTTGCCACAATGTGAAAAACCAATTAAAGATGGTGTTTTGCTGAGGATTCAGTGTTTGTTGCTTTGGTCTTTTTCATTTGAGACTCAGCTAAAACAGACTGCCTCAGCACTCACTTTGCTCTCTTTTCTCTTAACCGTTGGACTCTTTCTTGGCAGCACGAGAAGCCCACACTTAGAATAATTACTTTCCTTTTCTTTTTTAACACAACAATCTTAGCAGCCACATATATAAGCTTAATGAAGAGGACAATAATACTTTCCTAGGACCTGACAGTTGAAATCTTTTTCTAAAAGGTAATTATATTACTGCACAGCACCACTTAGCATGGTTCTGCAAAACAAATAGTCAGAAAAACAGAGAATACTATCTTTTGTTTATGAAAAATAATCCAATTAATCATCAAATCTTTATCACTAATGTGTGGGGGATGGTGGCCTTTGGTATCTTTATTCAGCTTTCTCTATGCCTTGGAGCAAAAATGCGTCAAATTTAGTAAAGTTGGTCCAAAAAAAATCATAGCTCCTTCCAAATAAAGCACATTTCATTTATGATATAGTCGATCCAAGCCTATAACTTTAAAATACATTTTCTTGGGTTGTATGAATTCGCTCACTGTAAGGTGAAGGTTACTAATAGTAGTTTACGTTGTTCTCGGCTTGGGGAGGTGGATGTTTTACTCAGAGCAAAACAGTCAAAAGAAGGACAATAAAATGTAAAAGTCCTCAGGGGCTCATTTTAGAAACTAAGAAAACAAGAGCAGACACACGTGTCATCACAGGTATTATGTGTTTAATTCTTCCTGAAACTACAGAAGGGAAACATCTTGTTTTCTTTTTTACTATGTTTTATTACATGTTTATGGTATGTTTTATTCTGTGGCCAGAATTCCGCATTTGCAACTTCAGACTGGCAGATCGCTCTGTTGGGACTTAGTAAAAATGTTGCTTACATACCTGGCACGGACTACAGTCTGGTTCCAGCACATTTCCTATATGTTTTAGATCAGGGGAAATGAAATATAAATGGCCCAGGGCCACATAAAAAAAAATCATACAATGATGAGGGCTAAAGGTTGGTTTATGCTTGATGCGTCCGCGAGGTCCGCACGGCTCCGTGTGGCGAAATTGCGTCATTTTAACAACCACGCCCCTCCACCGCGTCTCCGCATGGCCCAAAATTTCCGCAAAGCACACCTAGGAAAATTTCTAACCACGTGGGCGGTCGGACGCAGAAAAACACGGTGGACCGGCAAGAACTAGTATGGCAGAGGTTCGTAAATACAGACATTTGTATGATTCAGCTCTCAGAGATCACCGTGATCAACATGTAGTTAATAATTCTTGGAGAGGAATAGCCCGCACTGTTGGAAAAGATGAGGACGCTGTTAAAAATGCTGAAATGCCATGTTGTAAACAGTAATTTCTACTTCTACTATGGTGTAATGTTGGATGCATGTCGTAGAGCTCCATGCTGCCCTGTTCTGTTTGGGAGAATATTGGCTCACCGCAGAGACAAGCCGCATGAACCATAAACACTGCGAGTTGTGAAGCGCGTTCCATCCGCGAGTCGCATCACCAAGCAGAAAGTGAATGCATCAAGCATAAACCAAGCTTTATCCTGATGCTGGTGTTTCGGAGGCCACAAAGAGTGGGCTTGTGGGCCCACTGTTTTAGATCATGAGCTCAGCTGATTTGTTTAACTTAGTGATCAATCACTAGACATTAATGAAAGCTGGGAGACATTCAAATCTGCCAAGTGTGCCTTTAAAACTGTTCAAGGAATGTGATGTTTAGGTGAGTGCTGTCGCAACATTAAAGCAAGTATACAAGTTTTCTAAACAAGCATGAGCTTAAATAAATAAAATATGCAAGATTACTCTCTTAAAAAATTCAAAGTTCATCCCTCTGACTTTTGTGTCATGTCAATAGAACCAGGTTTTTTCTAAACTGTTTTAGGCCCTGACATACTAAGTTTTCCATTTCTCTTGTGAGTGCAAATAAAAAAGTAGTATTCCTCAGCCTAATTCACAATTTGCATTCAAATATGGAGAACCTTGAATTCTTGCTTTGGTAAAAAAAAAAGTGTTGGATTCTTAATAGCATGTCCTACTTGAACACGTTATCACACCCGAAGGTCAAAAAATGACGCTGGGTGACCAAGCACTTGTTTCCAGGAGGCGATGCGCTTTGCCAGAGCGTCGTTTTCAGACTGGGCGGTAAAACGAAGATTTCACAGAACTCTGACCTTTACACTCTTGCTATATAACCTTCCCCTCACCCCCACCCTAACCTTAACCCTCTTGTGCATGCAAAACTTTGTTTCTAGTTATAATGCCCCTCGGAGACAGTTAACTGTGGGTGAGAGGAAAGTGAAATTGCAAGAGGTTAGAGGTTAAATGTCGGTGGAATGTGCGTTTTACTACAGGCGTCGCAACCAACAATCTGGCACAGCTCGCCAGAAACAAACACTTGGTCACCCATCGTCATTTTCTGACGCTTCGTGTGTGAGAATGTGTTGCCTATTTGCAACATGTAGAATGAAAAATGGACTTAACTTCAAAGTGGAGGAAGTTACGTGTGTCTTAGGAGAAAAAATAGGAACAGCAGCAATTTGCGGCAATCTTAACAACTGTTTTTTGAACAAAAAGAGGTCAGGCATGTCAGGAAAAGAAGAATTCCTTGCCATCCTCTATGGAGGAGAACCAATCATTGTTGCATCTGTGAACAATTTTTAAAAATAAACAGTGACATCCCTTGTTGCTAGTTTGCAATCATAATGTAACCCTTAATGACTGTAGAGCTTCACAAACAAAAATTAACAATACATTTTGAAGTACGTTTTGTGGGATAATATTCTTTGGGATTTACCCCATTCCAAGTTTTGCTAATCTTTTGTAAATATTTTGCTCAAAATTAAGGTTAAGTTTTGCTTGGTTCTATAAACTATAAATTGTTTTTATCACCAGGTTCCTACAACACTGGAAATGTTTTGCTGCTATGGTCCAGTGGTGTCCAACGGCTATGGCGTCTGCTACAACCCACAGTCAGACTACATCATCTTCTGCGTGTCGAGTTTCTGGGAGAACACGGAGACGAGCTCTGCTGTTTTTGTTAAGGCCCTAAACGAAGGCCTATTGGAAATCAAGGATCTGTGCAATAGAAGTGGGGCTGCAGCTACCAAACCGGTTAACAGCAGCCAGCCAGCTGGCCGGCCCCATAAATCAGGAAAGTGAGCCATAACAAGAGTGCACGCCTACTAACCCGCGTCACTCAACAGGCTTAGATTTACACTCAGTAGCTTATTTAGATGCCTTTGTGTGTTTGTGCAGCAGTGTTCCTGACACAACAAAATGAAACCCTTAAAGTGAATGTGTAGATAGATATACTTTGTAAATGTTATAAAAACAACATTGGATCTGTGAAGACGGCAGATTGATGTCAGGTCCAAAACGGACTCTGGTGGACTGAAGTTAACTGGTCTGCTGTTCTCAAGGAGCTCAAAGCCATGTCCTTTTCATAGCTCTGATATGAGGGTAAACTTCTCTGTCAGCGTAATTGTAGTTTAAAGTGTATTGTCACTCACTGTGCAGTATTGTAACGCGACAGAAAAATTTGGATCCAATAGCAATTGTGACAACCTGTAAGTGTGATCCAACTTCAGTCTGTGTACTATGTTACCACTGTGAGGTCTGTTTAAATGTGTAGTTATACTTATTTATTTAAACAACATTGCCAAAGATGATGTGCATAATTATGTGACGTTTTTCTACGAAAGCACTTTAAAACATTTGCTGTATATAAACATAGACGATAATACTTGTGCACAAGAATGACTTATAATGCAAGTAACAAGAAAATAATAGGTGGTAGGATTCTGTTTCAGTGCAATATTTAAATTCTTGTTATCAGTTGTAGTCTGTATTACAGCAATAGTTAGAGAAATGGGTGTTAGGTGTAGTAAACAGAGATGTTTTATCATTTAGATGCAGTCCAGATCAAAGATGTCTTGTAACAGTTGATCAGTGCGGCAAAGAAAAAATATATACTTCCAGGGTGTTTTATGTGCAATTTGCCAGAGCGATTCATTAGATGCATGGATTGTATGTGTTATTTAATTTACTAAAGATGCTATTTTTATAGTCAGACAGAGAAATGTAATAATGTAATACACTATAATAAATGATAAGACGTGTCAGACCTAGTCACTCAGTGGGCGGCTCGAAAGACATTATATGTTGAGTCTGTTGTGGTTTTTGTTGTGATAGATCAAATAAATCTGTTCTTAAATGTGAAGTTTTTTGTTGCCTTGTGTCCAGAAGACACATGTTGTGTGTATCTCTCAGCCAAAGTTAAAATCGTATTTAAAAATCTAAATGAAATAAAGTTGTTCCACAAAATATGTCTGTTTATTCTTAAAAAGCTGCTTCAACGTGTTCAAAATGCTTGAAATCAGATATGATCAGAGATGAATGTTTTGTTTTGTTTAAAATGTGCTTTTCCTTTCACATAGGCTGTGTTGTGCATGCCATACTGTATGTAAAAGTTAATCAGCATTGTTGTTCAAAGAGTATTTTGTTTGTGCAGAATTGTTTTCTGACACCATCACTATGCTGTTATGTGGTCTGGATAATTACTGTTAAGGTTTTTAATGGCAAACTGTAACAACTGTGACACTTTAATGAAAAAGAAAAATGATTGTCAAAGAATTTAACAACGCAAAGTAAAACTTTGTCATTTCTGCTTTTAAATGTATATTAAATTACCAAAATATTTAATTTACCTGACAGTTGTACCTGACTTCACTTGTATATGTTCTTGAAAATAGTTTGTGAAAATGCTAAATGTGGAATGTGGGGTTTTCATCAGCTGTAAGCCATAATCATCACAATCATAACAAATAAAGGCTTGAAATATCTGGCTTTGCATGGAATCAGTCTATCTCATATATTACTGAATTAAGTGAACTTTGGCACCATGTTTTAATATTTGAGTTTCACCTGCATCTGTAGGGTTTGTGCAGTCTTACATCTCAAACATTTCTTGGTAACCTTAAGGTTGATTTATGCTTGACGCGTCTGCAAGGTTCGCACGGCTCCGTACGGCGAAATTGCGTCATTTTAACAACCACGCCCCTCCACCGCGCCTCCGCACGGCCCAAAATTTCCGCACCGCGCACCTAGGAAATTTTCTAACCACGTGGACGGTCGGACGTGGAAAAACATGGCGGACCGGCAAGAACTAGTATGGCAGAGGTTCATAAATACAGACATTTGTATGATTCAGCTCTCAAAGATCACCGTGATCAACATGTTGTTAATAATTATTGGAGAGAAATAACTCACACTGTTGGAAAAGATGCCCTGCGATGGACTGGCTCTCTGTCCAGGGTGTACCCCGCCTAATTGCCCGTTGACCGCTGGAGATAGGCACCAGCCACCCCCGCGACCCTACATGGACAAGCAGGTTCAGAAAATGGATGGATGGATGTTGGAAAAGACAAGGACGCTGTTAAAAATGTTGGAATGCCATGTTGTAAACAACAGTAATTTTTACTTCTACTATGGTGTAGTGTTGGATGCATGCCGTAGAGCTCCATGCTGCCCCCTACAGTTTGGGAGAATATTGGCTCACCGCAGAGACAAGCTGCAGGAACCATAAACGCTGCGAGTTGTGAAGCGCGTTCCATCCGCGAGCCGCATCACCAAGCGGAAAGTGAATGCGTCAAGCGTAAACCAAGCTTAAATGTCATGTTCCCACACAGTTTGACTGTGTCCTCGACAGAAAAAAAAACATCCTGAGGAAGTAAGTGAATTTCTTTAAGAATGAATAAGAACTTCAGAAATTTCTTCTTTTCTGTGAACTAATTATTATTTGCCAATATGAGATTAAATGTTGTTTAAAACTCTTGCACATAGCAAATGACATGAATTCTCTAAATAAAAAACCAGACAGCAAGTGTTTTAATTATGCCAAAGACACAAATCCATCATTTTCACACTTTCTAATTAATTCAGGGTAAAAAAAAATAATATTAGCCAGATATATTAATTAGAAATTACCAGTCAACAGCAATGCAAGTGATCACCTTTACATTTAGTAGATGTTTTAGGTGAGAATGCATAAACTTGGGATAAAAGTTAAGTAGCATTATAGCATTTTACGACAGGATGGGCAACATTCAGCTGTAATTTCAAAACAAAACAACCCGGAGGGAAAGAATACCTCCTAGAGGCCATCTACAATTATATGAAAGTTGTGAGACTAAAAACAACAACCCCAAAGGAAGGACCCAGCTAAAAATTTAAAAGACCAACAGCAAGCCTTACAGGATTAGAGAAAAGTCTGGCTTCTTGGAATCAAAGCATTAAGAAATGAAGGATGACTCAAAACTTTTTCACAAAGAGGTGGCTGTCCAGAATGAATTTAGAATGACAACATGAAAAAACACCTCACGGGTCTAATTCTGGATTTTCAGCCATGAGTCTAATGACAGAACAATCAGCTGGGTCATCGAAAGTCTGCCAGTGGAAACCAGTGATCTCACTACATGAGGAGCAGCTTGTGGCAAGACTTGGCAGAGAGATCAATGGAGGAAGCCCACCTGGAGATGGATGATGTGAGAACATTACCACTAATAAGCGTCTGCCACGCTACAGAAAGAGACAGGGCCAAACCTGCTGGCTGCTATCGACTGGAAAAGAGAGTGGAACGAACCAGAGCTGTCCATCCAGACCTCGTTTGCTCCGATCAGGAGCACAAGAACATATAGGGTGACGGACGTTGGTTTATCCATCTAAAAATAAAAGAGGAAACAACTTAAGACACAAAAACATCTCTGATTTTACAATTTTGCTCAGATCTTGAAGACAGTTTTTTTTTCTGAAAATAATATAAACAATTATTATTACACTTTGTGTAGACAAGGGTTAACCATTCCTGGTCCTGGTGGTCAGCTTTCCAACAAGTTTTATCTGTTTCACTGTCACACACACACACACACACACACACACACACACACACACACACACACACACACACACACACACACACACACACACCTGGTTTTAATCAGTAGGTGGTTTACAGGCTTTTGCAAAGCTTGATGACCCACTGAACAGGTGTTTCAGCCTTTGAGTCATGTGTGTTGGACCAGAGAAACAACTAAAACAAGCTGGATATCGGGATAGGTTATTCTGGGTGTAGGCAACCATCCTCAGTTTGGAATGATAGATTTTAATTTTGAGTTGACTGACAGCATGTTTAAAGCTCTCCTTTGCTCTTATATCAACACATTTAAAGTCCCATAAAGTCCCATAGTCATCATCACACACTGGTGAAATTCATCTCTGCATTTGACCCATCCCTGTGGGGAGAGGTGAGCTGCAGCTGTGGCTAATTGGTGGTTTGATTTGCAGTGGTCTGTAGTCTATGAATGCCTTGCGAGTCGATCTCTGTTGGAAAAAAGTTCTGCTGCTCGTTTTTCAGAAAGTGCAAGCTAACTGGAAGAGAGGTGAGCAGAACACGGCAGGATCTGGAGTCCTGGTGTCATATAATGTGACAATTTGTTTGTCATGTTAGCCATATTTAAATTTTTAGTTTTAAATCTTTCTTAAATTTGACATTTTTTGTTTTTGTGAAGCACCCCGTGATTTTTTTATCTTGAGAGGAGCTATATAAAAGATTGTTCTCTTTCTTTCAGAAAAAAACGGTCGACTGAGTACGGAAAATGCACAGATTACAGAGATTTGAATTCAGTTAACCTACTGGGGCTAGACCGCATCGACCCAGACATGAATGCACCAAGTGGCTTTTTATAACCCGAGCGTTTCCTCGTCTGTTTTCAGTCAGAAGCAAATGCAGTAAACAGGGATATAAGCCAATTTTCACATTCATCCTGCATGGGAAATTTAGTGTGGCTAATTATATTTGAAAAACAACAGGTAAGTCATTTTCTTGTGATCTTGTTTTTTAAGGGAACACAACCCCATACTAGACAGCAGCCCTACTGAAATAACTTAAATGTCAAAAATGTTTTTAAAACTCGTTACTTTTTTGTTAAAATTGCAACACATGGGTTTTTACGTCACATTTTATGGTTATTAACAGGGAACTTGGCAGGGATTTGGTAGAATCTCTGCCTGAGTAAACATATAACATGAAATCGACACCAATGAAACGTTTCATCAAACAACGTGCTCATCATCTGCAGTTTCTGACAATAAAGCTATCACAGGACAATGGCTAATCACCATGGTCTTGGCCCCCTAATAATTTTCTGTTAGCTCATAATCTGGTCAGAATAAAACTACTTCTTCACGCTGACATTGATCATGAGCTGTCTACAAACGGTGAGGTATTATTTTCTCATTATCTTTCTATTGAACCCCATTTAAAAACATATGATTGATCCATTTGGTTCAGTGCAAACAGCCTCACATATGAAAACGTTACTTATCCAGAGGGCAAAAATCCATTAGCATGTCACCTGTTTGTCGTACCTGCTAATTATTTTCATTGGCAGCGGAACATGTGCAAATAAATCATAAGATCAGAATATGATTCCATTCAGCAGCCAATTAGCTCCGAGTGTTACCACATCGTTAATAAAATCGATGGCTAATTCAGAAACCTGATCAATCATGCAGCCATTTGTGAAGATAAAAATGAGTCTGACATTTTCTCTTCAAATAGAATCATGAGAGAAAGTCCCACGGTCTTCTGTCTCTGACTTGACATTTAAAAGGAAACCCAAAGAAAAAGAACCACAGACTTTTTTTCTTCTTTTTACAATCTTTCAATTAAAGCTGAGCCCATATTTTAGGTGTCTGTTTTCATTCACAAAGGGATCGTGATAATGGCCATTCTGGCATTTACGAGGAAACTGCTCCCAGGGTAGGAGCTACGTTTACACACCATCTTGGAGCCTAATTGGGTGAGAAGTGAGGGTCCATTAAATAATATGCCACAATATATTTTATGCCAAGAGCAGACATGAGCTACTTTGACAGAACCAGTCTCGTTTAAATGAGATTTGGATGAAAGCTCATTTCAAGTAATCCTTGTCAATAAAATTCAGATCATATACATTCAGTAATGACACAGAAAGGCTCTTTAAATAAAGAACATGTGGAAATATTAAAAGTGAGGAAACATAAGATACAGTTTTCACAAAGACTGGGGTTTAATTAAATTATAAATACTACAGTGATTAAAAACTAAAACCACAATTGCCTTACATTGAGACCGTCACATCTGCATCTGTCAGCTGCTCCTTCAGCAGTTGTTACATGCTATAATGAGGCTGGGCTGCATGACAACAGGACATTTATTCATCCCAAGGTAATTTACTCCCTGTTCAGCTCAGGTGCTTGTTTTCTCGTAGTTTCCAAACAATAATCCATCCAGAGGCTGCATATTGGCCGTAAACTCACTACTGTAAACGTAGCACCTAAACAGTGTTGGCAACATATGATTCATTTTGGGATTGGAAGATCAATAACCAATTTGAAGATGCCCTGTTGGAAAGGGTCCAGGCTCTGCTTGGATGTGCGACGTAAATCTCGGCTGGTGGATGCGTTTCTGGTCCTGCCACCGCTCTGGCTCCGAGGGAATGATTTATGCCCCCATCCCTGCGACAGGTCAAGTGGTGGTTGGGTTTTTTCTTGAACCGCCTTGGCTAATTTAAGCAGCCTCTGTTAAAAGGGGATTTGCAATGAATGGTGTGGATGGTAAGTGAAAGGATGAGTCCAGAAAATCAGGATTGGATTTGAGGAATGAAATAACCCTCAGACGTCGATGCCCTTTAGATTCATCATTGTAATCGTTATCACATGCACACCTGCGCTTGCCTAAAGCACGTACGATTCTGATTTGCTGAACAACGTAAACAGAAAAGGAGTCCACGAGTGGAGAGAG